TCCATTGTTTTTGTTATACATTTGTAATTTTCTTTCACTCGTGTTATAATGATCAATTTATCATCTAGGGTTTTCAAATACTAAATATAGTTCTTGTCCTTTTTTTTATTTTATATATTTTATTTGCAATCCGTTACATCCGAACAATGTGCAAATCGCTTGGCCAAGTTTTACAATGACATATGAAGGAACTGGGCATTTACAGTCCATCATGGATTTATTTTCTTTAGTAAACAAATATAAATAGTATACACTATTAATATAATATCACAAGACAAATATGATCATTTTCAGGTATTATGATATATTTTGCATATAATTATCGAAGCTATTTAATGAGAGCTCTAGGGGATGAAATCTGCATAATCTTCATAAGTCTTGGCTATTGTCTAGTAAGTTTAATTGTCGGTAATTTGGGTGTTTTTCTAGGCGTTTGTAATATTTTGGGGTCCTGAATTGGACTTCTCGGTATATTGTGAGTACAATTAAGTCATTGTGCAATGTTTTATTTGAAACAAATTACGGTGCATTGACAATCAATCTTGAAGTGTTTGATTGAAGCCATCGCAGAATTTCTAGGTTCAAGTTGATGGCAATGCCTCAATGCTGTATTCCGTAGGTCCTGATGGGTTTTAATATTGAATTATAAATCAATAGTTTATTAGCCAATGCGAGAGACGACGTTTTGCCTAGAAGCTAATAGTATTGCTAAATTTTGATTTCGGGTGTTTTCTTTTCTTTTTGATATGTATCTTCCAGGTAATTTTTTTTTATCAAGATGTAGACCACGGTATTTTATGTAATCTGTCTGTGGTATGTGCTTGTTATTGATTTTAACTGAAGGGTATCTAGTTGGCCTGACGGTAAACGTCACGTGAACAGATTTGCTTTCATTTGTTTTTATACATCACTCTGTGAACAATTCCTGCAGTAGAGAAAGGTATTCTTGACGTTTTCCTGATGCTGCGAAAACATTTCATGGGATGTTAAGAACGCTATGTCATCAGCAAACATGACTATAAACAGGTAGGTCGGCATCCATAATAGATACAGTAGCGGACCGAGAACCCGTCCTTGGGGTGCTCCGGCGGAGACAGGATAGAATGATGACGTTTCCTCCTTGAATTTTATTTGGAGGTATTTTACAATCTGATAGGAGTGAAGTAGTGCAACAAATGGGTGGGGAAATATATTTTTGATTTTATATAAGAGCTCTGAATGCCACACTTTGTCAAAAGCTTGGACAAAAACCTTCTTTTTAGTAATTTTCTTTTTTATTAGTATATGATGCAGTAAACATGATATCTTTAAAGTATGACTGACTTTGTTCATGCACATTTTCAATATATTCGGATAATTCGAGAATATTTCCAGCTCTAATTTCTCATTTATTGTTAGAGTATGCTGAGAATTTTGAAGTGCTGATAAAGTTTGTTTTAAGCGTTATCATTCCTCAGCTGAATATTTCTTCCTAAAAAGACGCTTGGGAAAAAACAGAGAAATGACAGTCCAATTAGATATCGTACCTCATTTGTCGTTTCCTGAACGACAGGTACCAGGACAAGAACATTTGAAAGGGGTTTTGCTTTTATGATAAAAATGTAGTAAAACTATTCTTAGTATTCAAATTACCTTCAAGAAATCAATTTAACAACAAAGAAGGAACACACTTGACAAAATAAATACTCGATGTCCATTTTTTAACATAATTTATTCGGCTACCATCACCGCTAGAAATCGTTTTTATATTACTGATAATATGAAGGAATAAATAGTTTACTGTACAAATAGATGAATGATAAATGAAAACATTTAAGAACAACACTTCTACATATTTTATAAAAATGCCAGTTGTATTTCAAACAGCCACGATTCACAATTTCACTAAAAAAATTTCATGGAATCAAGGAATTTACATACTCGACCACCTGAAAACGTTATACAATTAGAAGGCTAAGAAATGGTGCGTTTGAGAACAAACTGTGCCATTCCTTAGACCTAGAAAATGATAAAACTCATTTAGTGAAACAATAGAAACTGGAAGAATATTCACGTTAAATTGAATATAATCACTGGAATATATTTGCAGTTCTTTTGTCAAACCGTGTAACTCTGAAAGAATTATTCACAAATTAAATGCTTTAGAATTTCCTCTTCTTAAACACCTCATTTGAATGTCACTTCTGTCAAATTCAAATGCACATGTCATTCTAGGCTCAACGATAAAAATTTAAAACTTTCATTATGATATTAACATGCCACTCGGGTCATAAATGTATCTTCATGTGAATTATTTATCACTCAAGTCAGCAACAGAAAATTTCTAGCAATTAAACTTCATTTAGAAACTGTAAGAGGAAGTTGCACATGTCACAGGACCAAAATTATCGATTTTCATTTTGTTTGTTATTTACTATCTTTAATATTCACGTAACATAGTACAATATACTTTTTCGAGCTATTTTGTTCCTAAGCGCTTGAAAATGCAATTTAAATGTGTACTCGCGCCAAGTGTCTTAGTCACAAGACATTACACTACTCCTTAGTCACAGAGCCAAGAAGTAAAAGAGGATTTAAAAAAATGTTGAAAAGAAGTAAGATTGTAGAAACGATGAGAAAAAGTTCAGAGAATGATGAAGATGCTGAAGAGCGAAAATATGCACCAAGATTGTCTTAGAGTATTGTCACAAATTTAGCATTTCCCGAAAATTATTATATTTGGCGATCATGTATCGTTTTTTAAAACTATTGCACATATTTCTATTTAATTTTCACCTGTATCATGAATTTGCGGCGATTTGTGATTTTTTATTAAAGAATTCAAGTATTCAAAACTCAGATTTTACGTATAATTACTAAAAAATGTTAAAAATAGTATCTTGGGCAAAAAAGTATTAAACTATGTAAATGACGTGGAATCGTTATGAAAAAAAACTGAGATACAAGATTATTGCTATAAAATAGTATGTAAAATTTCAAAGAGCTTCATAAAATAGTTTTAGAGATAAAGGTTCATAAACCCAACACAATTAACATTAAAGAGATAGGCTGCACAACCTCTCGATTAAACATTTACAATTTCATAAAAGTGGTACTTTGCCCAAAGTCTCTGGCATTACACAACACAATCACCAATAGTTATTCCTTTATTTTACTTATCGTATTCGTATGATCTTTTAACTTTCACAGTGACTTTTCATTTTAAAAAAACTAAAAGCAAATAACATTTTCAAATATATTGTCCTTACGTAAGTCTTAGAAAGGAAAGAAAGAAATTATTTAAGTTAATGTGATGTTTTAAAGTAATTTTATGAATTATTCCTCTTAATCTTCATCACTTTGCTGAAACGTCGAAAAGGAAATGAAGATACGTTTTTACATCATTGAAACCTTTGACGAGAGCTACCGTCTAATCTCTACGTCTCAGCGAATTGAAGTAACCTCTGATGACACAACGTAACTATGCTCTGTGGAGACGTCACTGTTCGTGGGCTAAATACTCTTTAGTTGAAAGAGATTGTCGTTTCAGATGCTTGGGGCTGCGAGTTCTTGATCAGTGCTGAGCAATGTCATAAATTGCAGCAAATTGACTTTGGTTTAAATTATTAACTTTTTTATATTTTAATACTACAATATCTACTTATACTTTAATATATTTGCATCTATGTTTACCATATTTTAATTCGTTATCATTCCCAATAAGACTTTTGATATAAAATAATACTGCTATTGTCTAGTGAATTTTAAAAAAATGAACAAAGTATTCAGAATTTTATTTCACCTCTAGTACAAGTTAAGCAAATTGTAATGGAGACATTTGTTTTCGGCCCCCTTGACATCAGTGTCTACAAAATAATGAAAGGTGTGATCCTTTTGATCATAAATTCTAAATTTGGATTATAATACATACATACATAAAAAACTATTCGCTTGAGTTTAAATATTGTTGAAGGATAAAATAGTGTACGGCATAGGAGATTAAACCCATTTTATTCACTTGTGAAAATTAGCCTTCATGGCTTGTGTCATGGTGTCGGAGGCAAACTTTTTCGCTCACGTATAAAATACTATTTTTCTCTCTTGTTCAATACATTACTCATAATGCGCGGGTGTATGAATATTTTGTACAACCTTCAGGTTAATATCTATATATCAGCGAACAAGTAGACTCCAATCTTATATGGATGAATAACCTTTTCGGCGTAGTAAAACAGCCTTTGTATTGGGACCACGACGAAAACAACGAGGAGGAAAGTGAAGCGACAGTTCGAGTTCCACGATGAAATCTTGCTGGCGAACAGGAGCGAGCTTCATCGAGAAGAACGAAACGACCTTAAAACACATATGTATACTCGATTTTTTGTGCAATCTTTTCTAAAAGCTTCCCCAGAATTAATCCATTCTGACTGGTAAGGTTGACTAAATTTATTCTTATCAGTTTTGTGTTACAAGAGAATCTGTCTCGAGTAAGTGCACTACGGATTAATTTGTTTCAGCCTTAATTGTTAATAGACCAATGTGGAGAAGAAACTCTTCTGGCAGCTTTTGCCGCTCTTATTATTGCTTGCTACCTAGATCGATTCTTTGGCGCAAAGTCAGAAAGAACAGATACATGTCTGTCAATGCGAAACATTTCAACGGTCGTCAATATCATCAGTTACAGCACTTCTCGCCTTTGGAAATGAAAGGACTTTATATCGAAAAGTAAGGAAGAGTTGTGGGGTGCGGGTAGTTTTGCAGCCCCAAGATGTTTAGAAATCTCACTGCGCAGAGCGTGGGGGCTGCTACCTCCTGCCGCCACGCTCTTTTATTGGCCTGTCGTCATTGCGCAGGATTTGAGGTGCTAATGTAGTAGATAGATATAAACGGCGCGCTTTTGGATTTGACATAACTATTCATTGTGATTTTATATAAAAAACTGGTGTATCTGACTGATTGGTATAGAAAGCAATGGAAATAAGGAATTGTTTTATATGATTAGAGGTAAACATAATACATACTATATTTAATGTCATATTATTATAATATATTTATTTATTTAAACTACATCTAAGCATATGATCAAGGACTGTAAAAGTATATAATAAATTATGATAATAATTAAAATAAAAATGTCAAATAATGCCTAGAAAATAATAGAGATCAGTGAGCAGCCTTCTACATGACAATGACGAGCTGCCTTTTCCCACACAATTGCCCATCCCAATATATGTAGAGAGAGGTGAGGAGAGTAAACGCCCAATGCGTCACTGCTCCGTGTGACGCCGCCCTCTAGTGCTGCGGGGACTTGGGGCTTTTGGGCGCGGCGGAGCGGCGCGCGCACACGTGCTTGTACATGCGGTTGATCTTCTCCACGTCGCCCTGGCTGAAGCCGCGCCGCTGGCCCAGCAGCTCCACGCCGGCGGCCTGCGGAACGCAAGCGCACGTGGCCCGGAGCCAAATCAGCAAAGAATGCGGTAAAGAAATCCCTGATCCAAGAGGGGAAGGTTTAACCACACGAGTGACGAAGGAGAGACTGGCATCTTTCTTGTTTCGAGTGTTGTCATATGGAATACAGTGCGCCAGGATAGTCTCTCCGCCTTGGCTGATGAGAGTGCTAGCAACAGAAATTATATTCGTAGCACGAGCTGCAGCATGTTTCAAATGAAAACATAAATTGCATACTCATCACAATCATAAAAGATGCTGGAAGTGATATCCCCTTCATTTGTTTCCCTGTGATCTGGTTGCTACCAATATATATGAAATATTATCAAGCGGGCCCTGGCTCGGCTCGCTGCGGAGAAACTTCCCTGGTGCATGTATCTATATTACTAATTTCAATTGTATGCATAAATTGACATAATCTAAGCAGAATGGCAAGAAGAATTTAGATACTCAATAACTCAAGAAAAATTTTAAAAAAAACAATGAAATTATTTCGCTTTTGACTGAAAAATACAAATATGCGGTTGAATTTTCCCGTCTATTCTCATTCTGCGCATATCGACTAAATTCTCATACTCAGTACATCACTGCTTAGGACACAGCTGATGTCATGCGATGAAGAACGAAGTTCCAGAAAGTGTCGTTTCAGAACAGCCAATTTTTGCTGCTGAAGAGCATCATTTTCTACAAACTCGACAGCAACATTTTTACTGCTTGGATAGACCAGTTAAATTTTATATTTATTCCAGTTTGTTTGTAAAATACAGTGAAATATGACTTAAGTAGTTACTAATACGACAAAATTTACCGTTGTTAGAGCAGGCCTATTAATGAAGATTCTGAGGTTGCAAAAACATGCTACTAGTCTACCTCAAATTTACGAAATACGTCCGATGTACGTCAGATGCCATTTGTTGTGAAAAATTATGTTTTCTTTGATTTTTAAAATTACCATACTCTACAAACTTCCACTAAAACAAAGGAACTAGAATCATCTTCCTTCAATAGGCTAGTGTGAAATACACCCTTTATTTCATACTCATTCTCTTACTCGAGAAATTCACCTACGAACCAAAGCAAACTAGACTTAAAGATGCGATTCACATATTGCAGAACTTCTGAGCACAGCCATCATGTCAAGGAGTTCGCATGTGAATTTCAGATTGGCTTCAACCAGAGCTTCATGAATCGTTAATAAGTTTCCATAGAACGGTGTAGGAGCTACTACTGTGTAACAAGCGAAGATTACAGACGTAATTTCATAAAGAGATATTTATTACAATTATTTAATGTTCCAAAATAAAAAAAAATCATCCCTTGCGAGATAAACGCTTTTGGTTTTCGGTAATTATAATACAACCCGTCACAGAAAAATTAAATCAACAATCTCCAACACGTTTCCGCTTCTTACTCTACAACAGCTCAAAATCGCCATAGTTGGACGTTTAATACAGCTCAACCTACACATATTTAAGTGACCGTTTAAAGGAGGGGGTTTAAACGTGTCTTATGGGAAAACCCATAAATTCCACGAAAAATGGCAGTTTACTGAAGTGACCGCTTAATCGAGGTGGGTATTTGTCCAAATTTCTTGGCCCAAGAGTGTCATGTTACCTTCGGGTTACATCAGGTTAAATGTCTCCATGACTTGAAATACGCAAGGGTGAGTATTTCGACTACCTGCACACGTACCTTGGGCGTGATTGTGGGCTGGCCGTTCTTGGAGAAGGCGTTGGCCGAGTAGTGCATGACGCTGCCGTAGTCGTACGCGATGCCGTAGTCGTCGGTGGACTCTCGCGAAGCTGGCCGGAAGTTTGCCTCGCGGCCTGACAATGGATGACAATTTTAAAGTGTTATGTCGATATTAGAGCATATAGGATAGAGACATAAAAATTTTCACCTAAAATATATTCAGAACCGGCGTACATGTTTATATCTTGTTTTTACCAAGGAGAAAGAAGTTCAAAGAACAAATAATGTTTAGGGCAGCAATTTAATATGAAAAACTTCTGTTTATATATTGCTCTAGTTGCTCAAACTTTATGGTACAATCGAGGGGATGCACGAAATTATGTTACAGACTACACACTTGGATGGAATGGAATTGGGATTAGCATTCTGTGGAATAAAGATGGATTTTACTTAACACTCTTCAGTGTTCTCGTTTCAATACATAGCAAGATAATATACGTAATTCAATACATAGTAGAGAGACGTGGGTCATTTACAATCAATACAAAAAGATTCTAATATGGGGAAAGATCAATCTCTGGTAATATCGCATAATAATATAAATCGCATTGCAATATCACGTATGTGAACGAAAAACAATATAAACGGATTGCAGAAGGACGAATAGAATGGAGATCCAGTTGTTACTCGTCTTAGAACATATTTCCAAGGAATAAAACAGTAAGTTTTGCTACTCACCCGACTGAATGTTCTGCCAGTGCACGGTGACGTAACGGTCGCGTTCCCACCGATTCTGCTCATGCAGGAAGCCTGCGGCGTGCATCAGCTCGTGCTCAATGGTGCCCACCAGAGTGGTGCACCCGGGGCTCTGCAGGTTGAGCTACAACACACCAATCCTCACTTAATATTTTATGGATTTAACTTTTAAAAAGGTAAAAGGCCCTGCACTTATCCAAAAAGGCCTAGGCTATCCTATGGTGGGTGAAGTAGAGGATAGGATTCCAATCTGTAGTTGCCTACGTCACTAAATGGCAAGCTCGTGCTCTATGCACTGTTAGATCTCAAATATTTACAGTCAACCAAACTTGTTAATCTTCGTTACCAGTACGTACTTGAAGGAAAGTTGTCAGAACCTTGGGTCATCTTGATTGAGACATCACCACATAAAAATCCCAAGAAATTCTGAGATTTGAAACCCCTGTCTCCTATTTTACTTAACGAAGAAAGGAACAAATTGATAAATTGGAGAGGGAAAAACAAATATTTAGTATAAAGAAGGAAAGCAAGGGAGTATTTTGGCATTTCATGAATGGATTAAGGGAAAGTGGATAAACACCAATCTAGATGGTTATCAAGACCCAAATAAAGTTAAATATTCCTTACAACCATTACCTAGTAGCTATGCACAAGATAACATGAGGTTTAAAAATTAACAATTTTGTTATATTGTGAATGTAGTTAAAAGATACTAAGACTTCTTGATACGTTGCGTTGGGAAATGGAGCCCCAGAGGAGTGAGCTACCTGCTGCGGGCCGCCCGTGCGCCCCACCGCCGACCAGCAGCCCGTGTTGTCGTTGGTGATGACGAGGTAGTCGCTCTCGTGGCCCGAGTACGGCACGAAACGCAGGCACGTCAGCGAGTGGTACGAGTTGATGGCCCTCTGGAAGTTCTGCAGGTCGTACCCGGCTGTCAACAAGGGCGATTGCGGGAGACCATTTATAAAAGGAGGAAACTCGTTCCTTCCATACTACTGACAAATGATAAACACTTTTCATTATTACTATTCATTCAATATTGCTACATTTTTTAAAATCTCATGAAAGAATGAAGCTATAAAATCCAACCTACAATTTCAATAAACAGGGAGTACCAACGTTTTATATTTTGTACGTATCATGTTATCTCTCAAAATGTGCACCATCACAAACTGAAAACATATTCAAGCAAAAAGTTATACTTTGCTTTTAACGCTGATCACCGATATATTTGTAATTAGGTAGCTCACGGGAACAAAATGTTAAGAATCAAAATGGAGAATTTATGATAGATGGATGAAAAAGAAATTATTAATTCCTGCTGCTCATAGGCGATTTCATTTGACCAGGGCACTTTATATGACAAACGTTGAGCTCTGAGGCTACGTGTGTTGCACGAGTGATAGTGCAAGACAAAACGAAAAACGCAAAATTTCGCCGCGTAGGCGGTTACCATGTGAGAGCGTAAAATTAAAACACGAAAGCAATTTTTCTCGCCCTAAAGAAGGTCGCAGAAAGGCGGCCGAAACGTTGACTCCGATGTCCAGGACACGGCGTCTTCCGGACAGCCAAGTGGCTACTGCGGTTTCCATATGTGTTCCCGAGCCGATCTGCGTGAGACACTCACTGAAACCAGGCGACAGGTAGTAGGGGATGACGCCACCGGGCCAACGGGCGCTCTGCAGGCGGATGCCATTTCGCGACGGCGGGAACAAGATGTCGCCCTCCACGTACTCTCCCAGCTCCTCGGGGTTGATGCCGGTTCCGTCCTGCCATTCGGTGACACGCTGCCCTGCACACACACATTGTATGAATCACTAATTGCAAAAAGAAAGTCAATTTACGCAGGTTTAGAGAAAACTAAGAGAAAGTTTATGTAGGCACAAGATTGTTTCTACTGTTTTGTAATGCATTATATGTTTGTAGTGCACCACAAAATAGTAGGAATGTATTGTAAGGGTAATACTATTTTTTCTTATATCGCTCTACATTCTGTCTGTGAAAGGACTTACTTTTTTTCCATCAGTGATTCGAACTATAATGTTAATTGCTGTAAACTGGGCTTTAATTGCCCAAGCATGGATATCAACCATCTGTCTCTTAAGAGTCCGTACGTCTTTAGCTTTTACGTGCCCTACTTTTCAGTGGTTTTATACATTATTATTATTATTATTATTATTATTATTATTATTATTATTCGGGAAAGTCTATCTTTTTCTGAGTGTTTCGTGTTCATTTTTGGGCCACTTCTGTTTGTGTCTCGAAAAATAAATCAAAATTATATATAACGAATTTAATGTAAGCTCGATTCAGTAATTACTTAATATGAATATTCACATCTGCCTTGAAAGGTGTTTCCGTCTAAAACCGGATCAACGGAGAATTTTCTTCTGAATATATTAATTTGTTAATTTTTAAGTTGCAAAAGGACCAAGATTATTTTTGATTTATACTATATTACGATTCAATAATAATAAATGTTATAAAGTCTTCAGAGATATGTTTTGGACATATTTTGCCTTGTAACTCAATTTCAATCTATAGTGACATGTGACTATCTGCTCCCGAGCTCTTCATATTTCCTATGATCTGCAAATACTGGGCTTGCACATAAAGCATGTCGCCAGCCAAGGTGAACCATATTAATGATTCAGTAGCCGCATTAGTAACTTTAGGCTATGGATTTATGTTTAACAGGTTTAACAACAGAGCTAAATACCCAACTAATAACAGGGTCTGTTCAGTGCTCCCAGTGTGAGCATTCTCTAGCGACTCACTTTATTCCGATATCGACATTCAACCGAATTTGTAATAATTTATTTAATGATAAAGCAAATGAGAATATGTTTGTGAAATGAGACATGAAGCGGACGTAAACAGACAAGCCACATTCACGAAATATCAAGTGCCCATGTTCGTTTCATGACGTTACGCTTCATATGCACTGGTAATCGACTGATTTATTTTAAAGAATTATATCAATGTAAACACTATGCTTAAAAAAGAAGTTTTGAAGTGATAGTGTCTTAAATTTCAGCAAAATAAATAAATTGTTTTCATGTGGGTCCTCCTAAATTGGCGGAATTATAGGGAGTATTTACCATATCCCCTGCACAAAGTGCCAAAGGTCGTGCAAAGAATGTGAATCATTTCGATATGTTACATTCACCAAGTCCTTTCTTCCCAAATTGATTTGGCAGAAATGGGTGTCAAAATAATTTTTCACAGTATTAAATGAACGGTTCTTATGTCTTATCGAACCTGACGTGAAGGAATCTACTCACACTCCGTGAGAACATGACGAGCACCAATACGAATCTGCGAGCAGATAGGCGTATTTATTTAATTTGTCGCTTCGCTACACGCGCAAAACTTCATGACCAGGCTCCGTCCTTCGGCCTTGAGACTCTACATTGCATAATTTCCAATGCATTTTATCCCAATGTACTGTTTTTACGAACAGTTAGTAAGAAAAAAATATTAACAGGAAATGAATTCAGAAGAATTTATGTAAGAAAATTACATTCAAATGAAAAGGCATATTTGGGTAGTTGCTTCTAAAAGGCAGTAAAGAATCATTTTTGTAATTTCTTAGTGTGTTCATATCACTCAAATTCTACGGTCATAATAAAAATGAAACGTTCTCTCCACATATTTTCATATTTTGGATGTAATTACAAAATACAATATTTGCATTCATGTTTGAGGAAAATATAGTCTTCCATTTTTGATCTGATAGCTAGAATAAATTTTATTATAATCTAGTTATAATGTAGCGCTCCTGCCATCAGAGGAGGAAATGTTTTCCATTGGGGCTTCAGAACCCCCAGACAGATAGAGGATAATTTTCTTCCTTGAAATGTATCGCTTATGAACCAAATGAATGCGTAGCTCATAAGTAGTCCTGTCACATAACGCTCAGGCTCTGGCAGTCAAAGGTGAGACGTGGGCAAAGCAACACCCCAATGTAATCTTACAATGTGGGTTGAAGGAAGTCAATGGAAAACCGAACTGATAAAAGTACATAGAAGTTTGTACATATATTTTTCACCAATAACATGCAATGATTCCAGTCATAAATTAAACAACAATACAATGATTACAGTCTAGATTTATTTAATTAGTGTGGTATAAAATTTTATATTACAAAGTTTGTATTATAGTTTATAATAATATAGTTACAAGTACTGAAGAGGATCTAGCAGGTGAGATTGAAAGTTTATGGTTAAATAAAGCATTTTTAATGTCATCCATTACATTGTGGATTCATCGCCTATTGTTTGATTGTATTTATCCAGTAATCCTTGAACCTTTTTAGATGATTCTCTTATCCCATCAGAAATTGACGCATGTAATCCAATTTGTTATACGTTTAATTATGTTAATTCAATTTAGATTTCTTTCCTCTTAAGGAACACTGGCGAGCCGGCCCTGGACAAGGCCCAAGATCGTTACCTGTCTGGTTGTCGGGCACTCCGAAGAGAGACATCCCGTACTCGGACTGCAGCCGTTGGCGCAGGATGTTGGCCTCTTCGTCCTCGTAGTCCTCCTCGGCGAACATCAGCTCGTTGGGCGGCAGAGGGGCGTCCTCGGGAGACGTGGCCGGATAGCCATCACTTCTGCTCGCGACCAGCAACAGCGCCACAAGCGCCGGCCCCAACGCAAGGGCCACATTGCGGCTCAGGCAATACTGGGACGAGCTGGCAATCATCTGGACGAACGGGGAGTGTTTGTTAGCTCGTCCACTCACTTCACTGACCTCGCGGCACACTTTTAAACGATGAAAATGTATTAGGTACACTGACAAATATTTACAGGACTTTTAAACCGTTAAAAAAATCTTGAGTGCTGTTCAGGAACGGTAAACTTCGCTAAATACTTATTCTATGGGAATATATTTTCCTCACCTTGGAGTGCAAAAATAAGTTAGGCCTCTAGTACACATCTAACCATTTAAAATGTGAGTCGATTACTGCAGTATTAAGAATAAATCTCAGAACTTTCGCCTAAAGGTGGCGGTATTAATACCACATTTAAACGTAGCCATAGCAGTGAAAGTTTTCTTCCAGAATTCAATGTTGATACTTTGAAAGATGTCTGAAAACCCTTGCTTCTGGATTCCACCATTGACATTTCAGTACCGTGATAATGGATTCAATAAAAATGATAGTTCAGAACAGTAGGTAAAAATGTTATTGATGTTGAAAGTGAAGGAATCTTCACGACACGTTATCACAATCAGATAGGTTTGTTTGCTAAAAGAGTAAGAAAACAATCAACTTAGGGGCAATCTTAAAAAATTAAAGTGGTACTATCAGTTTTCCAACAATTTTACTATTCTATCTAACCCAGCCTTCGTACAATTTGTATCTCATATTATCGACATATGTTTTTACATCTTATACAGTATATCTTATATATTTTAATATATAATATATTATATATAGAGCTGTTTGGTATATCATTGTGAGAAATAAATATCCCAGCAACCAGCCGGATAATCAGCTAGAAACTTGTAATAAAAATGAAGGAGACGTAAATCGAGTGACTGAGTATTGTTTCCGGACGCTTTACTACTCTACAAAACCATCATACGATCACTACTTTCATATGTTTGCACAGAATGAATCAGTGCTGCCAAATCAAACACAAAAAAACAAAACAAGTAGTCCAAAATCAGTTCCTCCACACCATCACGAACTCTTTTTGGCACAACTGCAGTGCACAACTTCACAAAGAATTCCAGTTAGAACCGTTAACCAACCACGTTATTTTATTTATCCGCCCAGTTCATCCAAAACATCTCAAATATACTCTATCAAACCCTAAGATTTTGCCATAAACCAATATACAAAATCTGTATCAAGAACAATTTCCCGTTTTACACTTTCCTAAATAAATTCTCAGATCTCTATCCAAAGTTGAGTAATCATGTGAATCTATCTCTACCAACCTAGAAGTAGGATAACTGGTTAATTTCAAGAAGATTTAAGAAATCACAGCTGTATGCCTCAATACGACAAGGTTGATACGCCTTGAAGTGTGAATTATGAGATGATAGGATGATGAGTGAAGAGACAATCACAAATACGGCCATGTCTACGCAGGACTCGAACTCCAGCCTCCGTGACGAAGGGGACGGCTCACACAACCGTCAGCGCATCGAGGCCAACTTATTATTATTATTATTATTATTATTATTATTGTTGTTATTGTTATTGTTATTGTCTCCCTAGGGGATCACCGACACACCCGGACCAAGCTCAGCGTTCCCGGCTGGTGCGTTGGGGTGAGTGCGCGCGCGCGCGTATTTGGGTGTAAAGGAGAAAAGCAGAGGAAGGAACATTCTCCACAGGTCACGTCCGTATCTTGGCATTTTTAGACGTGTTGACATAATGAGAACATTTGTAGCTGCGCGTAGGTGAAATAAATTCAACGCGATGTGACTGCCATCCAATGAATACTCTTCTGGCGGACCCCCAAATTTTAAAGAAGTTTTTCCCAAAATCTCAAAGATTCGACTCGAGTAAGGTCAACACGGGTTTCTTCAATTTGGAGAAAATCTTACGCATGGTTTAGGCACTAGTAGTGTATACAGACACCAGACTGTCGGACGGACGGACAGACTGACAGACGGATGGACGGGCGAACATGTGTATATATGCGTTTTGGCCCTGCCTCTTAGCTTTCGCTCTTACCGGGGCATTGTTAACCTCCAGACATTTTCAATTTTTTTTATGGCTCCAAACTTTTTTTAAAATTTCTTCAAAAATAGAGTAAAATATACTTATTAAGGTAGTATAGGTCATATTTTCAAATTCAACTCGAAATGTTCGAAAATGTCAAAATATATTGGATGTCTTCTTACAACTACAAAATTGAAGATACAGATTTTTCCTTCAAATAAAATTTGTTCTCCATAGTGAGTTCTTTCATTAAGATCATGTACATTTTGTTTACAAAAATAGTAGTTTTTGCGCAATATTGAGAGCAATATGTGCAAAAACCTTTATAAACAAGATTTTCTCAAAAATGACTCCAATTTTTTTCTTTAAACTCTTGGTAGGGATTGTGCTAATTGCACTCTATAAGATTACATAAACGCCATATTTCTCAATTCTATTGTTTTTTCAACAATTATAAAAATGTATTTCTTTTTATTCGTCTCTCACGTCGTTAATATTTATATTAGCGGCAATTTGTTCACATTATTGTATTTATGAGTGCATGGGCTTTAAATAATGTGAGATAAAGTTTCCTAACTTAACAGTTGCTCATGAAAACGAGCTCAAAATTCCGCATTTTCAGAAACACTCAAACACCATTTTGTCTCAAACGACTCCACATTTTTTCTTTAAACTTTTCCAACAGATAGTACTAATTGCACTGTTAAAGATAACATAGAGTTAGTTTTGCTGTATTCATTTGTTTCTTAAAAAATTACACAAGTGTAATTTTTTGAAAGATCTCTCACGCCTTGAATCACATTTCTAGCAATTTGTAAACACTATTGGATTTCTAATTGGAAGTGCTTGAAATGACGCCATATTAAGTTTTTTGTGAACTCAATAGTTTTCTGAGAAAAGAGGTTCAAATTTCGAATTTACAGAAACACTTAAATGCCATTTTCTTAAAAATATCTCTAAATTCTTCAAAAAAAATTGTCATTTGGGACAAGGTTTAACTGTTCTTTAATATTTTTAAAGAAATAATTCGATTCTATCTTAAGAAACCGAAAAACTGAGATTTTTTTTTAAAAAAATGTACTTTGGGTGGCGATAGATGACAGCTGAAAGTAGCCGAGTAAAGTTCGAGACCAATGGAAATAGAAAACTAATTCGGGAGAGTCTCTGTCATTCTGTAGCATCACTAGTTCTAGAGAATAATTATCTTTTTTCGCTGCACCAGAACATAACATTATACTAAGTAAGAAGTAAGAGAGAAAGTAGAATTTGTTAAGCTTGGAAGATAAAATACAGAAGGGTTTATTTTCTGTCCCGAGATCCACGTGTCTAGTTACGTCCCTGTACACACAGTTTGTCAACAGCATGATTCTGATGGTTTTACGTTTGCACACCCACACGCACACACATATGTACGGAATGTATTCGAGGTATTAATGTTTTCAACAAATAAAGTTTTGATGTGTTTAAGTTAAAGTCCCACTTGTCTGATGAGTTATATGTTCCGTTCTTAAACAGATATTTCAGTTATTCCCTCTTTATATTTAGATTGATATGTTTGAAAGTTACTTGGTGAAATTGAATTGGCTTCTCTTCTATTTATGGATGCTATTCATATGGGACATTTATGTCTACAACTGATAGGATTTCCCAGTAGCGTTGGATTTTCCTAGTAGAAATATCGATCACATGACTCTAAAATATTTAATCAATGCTAATAGGAAGTAACTAATGCTTATTTAAATACCATCGTTAACCCATTTCCAGTTCAAATCCTGGCAGTTATTATTCAGAACGTAAAAGTTCACCGAAATAGTTGTTCTTTTTAAAATGAAATGGAAATGACTTTCATTAAAAGAACATTATTCAATTAAGAAGTGAAAGGAAAAAAATACACAAAATCGGCATATTAAAGATTCTCTCTTGGGTATTGCGTAGTGATAATAAAAAACCTTAACATAAAATTCAAATTCGTCGTATCGAATGAAATTAAAAAGAATCATGTAGTTTCAATTCAGCTCATTTCAAACAAAATGGGTTGTCTATAAAATTTGTCCGAAGTAGCTTTTAGCAAGGCATTTCTATTTTGATCACATTCCATCCCTCTTCCTGTCCACAGATTTTCTCAGTAATTCTCGCTATCTACGTATGGAATCTCAGGTAATGACAGTAATCAAATTAAATTTCGAATAATTGTTAAATGTCCGTTTCTAGCCACAACTGAGCATATTAGATTATCGGTTTTGATACATTTTTGTTTGGGAGCAAAATCTAAATAAAATCGATACTCTACAAACGGTTCATAAACCAGATCCTAAGAATCAAGCAATAGTTACTATTTCTCAAATAATTCAGTAATAACATCAACCACAGTACCGATCTACAAAACTCGTCTTTGCAAATATAGTAGTATTTCCTAATCACTTAAAAAATATCCCACGATTTTTGAAAAGCTTGTCTACAAGCATCTACCTGCCAAATTTGTACTAATAATACAATAAACATATTTTCAAAGTATATTGTCACTACGAATGCTGTTTATTCAGTCAATATTTCAAAAATAAACTTAATAAACGTATTTAAAACAACAAACGTAAACATGTTTTCTTACGATTAGATTATTTGACATTAATAACTTTTTCAATCAATCACTTATCCATAATAATTCAATTAACTTGACGAAATCCAGCATTTCCAATTGAATTTCAGTAATAAATTTCAATCATTACCTTTCGCGGTGGACGTCCGAAACCGCTTGCAGGGTACAAGTAGAACAATGTAGAACACCGCATCCACTGCTAATCCACAACTACCTCACGCTGTCCCCGAAAGGAAACTGACAATGGAACTTGAAGTAGCCTCACAAAACCTGGCGGAAAGCGCCTAAACCGCGCAACTCAGTCGGTGGTGAGACATCGCCCCGGACGCAGACCCTACACGGGTTACTTCCATGTTCCTGACACATTTTCTTCACAGCACAGTTTCCGGCACAGTGCGCCGATTCTGAAAATCTCTGGCGGAATGAATTGCGGAAATATGAAAATAAAGTTTTTCTAGTCTTCATGAGGGAAAGCCAGACCTGTGGGCGCCTTTGACTATCCTCCAATGACACCCTGACTGACGAAAAAATTGTAAACTTTGTTAATTTTTAAATAATGCAAAAGGTAATAAAACAAAAAATTAGTAAATTGCTAATATTTGTGCAAAAATTGCATAATGCATGTTTCATTTTTTTCACTATTAATAACGTGTGTATCTGACTATAATAACTAGGGCTGTGATTTACATGCATTTCCATATTTTTCAGTTAACTAAAACATCCCAAACAAATTGTATACGTTTTGGGTTATTTTTAATCAATTTAAGCTATTTTTATTTAGCATATTTTCGCATATATCACCATAGTTACATATTTTTTCATATTTGGGCCGTATTTGCATTTTTTATTGCATACGAATATTCACCCCTCATCCACGAAAAGAAGCCCAAAAGTTACAGTTCTGTCAGGCTGTATGCGGCTCTAACAGTTCCCTCATCACTTGCGATGGTACATCATGTGACCTGCTCTGAAGAAATGAACTTCCGAAGATTTGTTTACTTTGCCATTGCCACGGATCAGCGTTGCCGTTCGCTTAACTCTTACGAAGTCGCTCATCGACAGTATCAGTCGAAATGAAATGTGCATACGCATTCTTGGCTATCCGGGATGAGCCGCGTCTCAGTCCATTGTGCTGACGTTTCGGCCATCTTGCTGTGGCCTTTTTCAGAGCTAAAGCTGTATAGTTCAGTATAGCTCTGAAGAAGGCCACAGCAAGATGGCCGAAACGTCAGCACAATTGACCGAGATGCAGCTCATCCCGGATAGCCAAGAATGCATTGACTCCGGCCGCGGAAACCTACGAACCCAAATGTGCATACGCCGAGCGCCTATGCGTGCCCACACACGGCGCAAACGTGGAATGATGTTAATAGAGTCATGTTCGTGAATTTGTGAATTGAGAAGTCATTTTTTGTTGCAATACCTATATTTTTTTATTTTGTGAAATGTACATTAACTGCATCTCCCATTATTTAATTAAGAAATGAGTGTTCTTCAAAATTAAGCCTTTGACTTAATATTTGTCGCTTGTAACGCTTTATATGATTTCTGTTTCTTTTGCTGTAAGCATATTTTCCACATTACACTTTTTGTTTTACACTTACACATTTAGTTACACTATTTCGCAAATTTTCCTTTTTTAGTTGCACTACCATATATATTACTAATCACGGATATTTAATATTTATTGGCGTATCACAAAGTATAAAACACGAAAGCGGAGTTGGTCTCGCCAGGCATAAGAGAACTTCCATTCTAACTCTCCGTCTTCTTTCCCCCATCAATTTGCGAGATGGTGAGCGAGTGCGAAAGGAATTAGACTGAGGTGTTACGACTGACTTATTTGCGTGTGACTACACTGTTGTCCTCAGAGAACATCAGCTATCACAGATACCGAACGCGTGGAGACACCGTGTTGAACAGCAGAGAAGAGTGTCGGTACAATTATTAAAGAACACAAAGAAAATAGTTCACCAAGAGTTACGTAGATAATGGGGTCAAACGTGACTCATCCGCCATCATTAATGGTGGCTGAAGATTAATACGATATTTGGATGCAAACTGCGGTTTAATGTATTTCAAGTAGTCATAATTAACAATTAAAATTTGTCCGGAATGTTTTATAAACTCATGGGCCAACATAACCGGCTTCCGATCCCCAAAGAGAATCCGTTTCTCGCCCTTACCCCTAAATAAGTCACGGATACGCTCATACACCGGATTCTGACTCAGTCGGTCGTGGTTGGCCAATCGCATAAAACTGTCACGTATGCCTAGTCTGCTCCAAACATTCGGCAAGTGCCGAGCGACCTCTCCCCGAATCCCGATTAGTGTGGTTGGGTCGCGTGCTTTTTGTCAAGCACCAAACATTTGTTGCTCGTCCCACCCACAACGTGTCTGTCTTCTGAATGTGAACATTCACCGAGCACTTCGGGTACTCGATTCGGTACTTCGGGTACGACGGTTGGTTGGCTGACTGTTAGTGATTCCGGGCACGTCAACTACATTAGTTTCATATGTGTTCTGCATGTTTTTATCGGGAGGTGGTGGTGCACATCCCCTGCTGAATGGCGAAATCCGGCGCCAACCTACCGTCGGATAGCGGTTTTTCTCCCAACCAGATATCTTCGATCAGCATTCCGCCGACCCAGCTGGGGCACGTTCTAAGGTCCCGACAGGTCTCCCAATATGTGCTGTAGTGTAGTGCATGTTAGCGTTAGCGTAAGTGTGTGTGTGTGTGTGTGTGTGTGTGTGTGTGTGTTGTAAGTGGTGAGGTAAGACAAAGAAGGAAAGTGAGACCGCGCGCGTTCGTGGCGCTGTTTGTTAGGGAATGCTGAAGCCATTTGGCCTGGTGTTGTATCGGAGAAAGCACGGAAAACTACCAATCAGAGCAGCCGGCCGCTAGAATTCTCCTCCAGACAGCGAGTGAATTCGACCTGGCTGACAAGATAGTGTCGAAAATCCCGCCATCGTAGGGAGTGTAGCCTTTGGACCTAACAATCAGAAGCACAACAGTGACAGCAGTGATGCACTGAGCCACCTCTCCTGGTCGGCTACTCGAGATCGGGCGGGCAGGCGTTCGGTTCTCGCCGACTCCGTGGATCCCCTTCAAACGATTTCCCCCTTTTCAGGGCACGTGGGCTCGCCCTCTCGAGCACTTGCCTCGGTACCTTTTGAGCTGCGCGTGGCCGCCTCCTTCTTCATCCACTGCTCGCCGGAACCGCCACCTGACAGTCGCTCTCCGTCCCTTATATCCGCGCGCAAATGAGGGCCACGGCAGATATTCGCGCGACAGGAGCGGAGCGCTATCATGGCGCCCCACGCGAGCTGCTGATCGACGCGGCGCGGCGCGGCGCGGCGGCGGGAAGGCCCGGCTCGCTCCCGGCGCGGCGCGATAGTCGCCGGCGATACCCCGAGCGCAACGGGGTTAATGAGCGTGATGATGCTAAACGCCACCCTTTACGCTAATTCGCCACTTAGGATAAGCCAAAGCTGCACCTTCCGGAAAGGCAGGCCGTCGCGGCCCCGCGCCGGCTGCGATAGCGGAGTGAAATGACGGCCTCCGCGCACGAAGACACATTTCGCCTAATAATCTGGACCGCCAAAAAGCTTAACATGAACAGCTACTGCTTCAGTTCGAGGCTGATAACTAAATGTGTAAACAACAGGTATTGCTAGAATCCAAAAGAACAGTTTCCTTTCATCCATTGAGCAAATGTTGGGATAATTCCTAGTTTTGCTTCCGGACAGTAAATGTAAGTTCCTACCTTTCTTAAGATCTCATTTTACTATATACGAGGGAAGTTTTATTATTTTTTAGCGGAAACATGACATCGTATCTGCAGTTTTTTTAACGATGCAAATAATGTGTTAAGCGGAAGACAATATTTCATGCTATTAAATGTCAGTAACACACATTGCTACTTTTAGTTATAATTCAACTGCATGTAGTAAAAGAGGAGTGTAAATTATTTCGGATCTCAAAAAACTGTCCACAGATAATACTTCCTGCCATAAGTAAACAGGTATACCTGATTTATGAACATTGTATATATAAGTAAATAAAGTTGGAAGCTGCGGCTGTTATTCGCTGCAGCTCCTTAATTAGCCCCGCTACTTTTGCAAGCGATTACACCGGACCCCGGAGACCACTTTTGGAATGTTTTTAGATATTTCAAAGATAGTTGATGTCATTGATCATTACATGTTACTTTCAAAATTACCTTCGTATGGAATTCGTGATATTGTTCTAGATTTGTTATGCTTTTACCTTAAACAACGATATCAGAGAACCGAAATAACGTTTTGGAAAGAAGGGATAATTATTTACTCACTTTTCCGATTCATTACCAACTACACCTGGGTTCCGCAAATTTCGATTTGGATCATTATTCTCTTCTACATGCAAACGATATGTTCTCGACGATTTGAACTGGAAAAATAGTTGTTGTTGTTTTCTGATGATACGAATAACCTTTGCAATAAACAGTAAATAGTGCAATATCAGATTTTTAAATTTATTTCGTGGTAACTAATTAATAGTAATTTAAAAAAGTAGTTTGAGTTTTGCAAAATTAATAGTTTTAATGCAGTTTTACAATTCAAATAAACAATTGTACACTCCATTTAAAATGACCAATAGGAAACTGACTGATATTAAGGTGTCAAAGTGTCTGAGTATCTAAGTTCCGTCAAACCTCAAATGGAATGACCATTTTCATGAACTGAACACACAATTAAAGCCATTGTTCTACGCGCTCAAAATTCTTCCAAATTCAATCAGCCTTCGTACTAATCGCTGCGTATATTTCACGAACGTTCACTCCCACCTGAGATATGGCATATTCTGGGGAACGGCATTCTAGCTCCCAGACGTAATGATTACAGAAAATAATTGCACGAATAATAAATAATAATAAATATTCTACCCATGTGATTCTTATAAGCTTATTCTTATAAGCTAGGAATTCTACAACTGTCTCCTGATGTACGAATTAGGGTTTTACCTCAAAGATGACTTACTCAAGAGTAGGAACAAATTTTTCGCCAATACAGAGTTTATAAGTGTAACATTCGTCGTAGTAATCATATTCATCGGGAGTCACTATCAACGCCTTATTATAAAAATGAATCACATTTAATACATACACATTATTGAACAACGCTATGCCTTATGATATTAAACGATAAAAAACGATACATAAGATGAAGCGCCAATTAAAACGTTTTCTACAAGACAACAGCTTCTATATATATAAGACATTATACTGAACACCAAAAAGTAAAATAATGTTGATTTTAACAATGATATTTAATTTATTAGTTACCATTTGTTCCAAAGAATTTTAAAAGACTAAATATGGCATGTCTCTAGGTCATGTTTTCTTCATGCATTCCGGAACTGAGAAAATGTGGGGGAAAATGTTCATCGGACAACAAACGAAGGCAGCCGTTAAGAGAGAAAAAGGCCTACCGGAAGGCTAGTCCAGACTAGAGAGATTAGAAAATTATAGAGAGAACGTCTGTGCCATTATATAGCACCACTACTTTTTAACACCACCACTTTTTAAATTTATTTACTTATCATAAGCTGTTACGTACGGGAAGAAACTTTCATGAAAATATTTCATGCAGGTTTTCAGAAAATATTTTTAGAAATAGCATCAATTTCAGATTTATAGAAATATTAATATTAACTTTATATGTTAAGCGAAATCACTTCATTTCAAAAAAGTGTACATGAGATTTTTTCAAAGAGTTGATTTTTTACAATAGACTTTCTTTAAAACAAAAATCGCAATCTCCAATTTTGAAGTTTTTTAATTGTTTACGATCTTTTGGTACTTTCTTAAGTAGTGGTTCTAAAACAGCACGTACTTTCGCGCCATTAGTAACGCTTATTTAATACTATTTATATCATAATTTCACTCCGAATTATTTTTGTAAAACTTATTTGAAATCGTAGAACATTTGGTGCGAAAAATAATAATTCGTGAAAGTAAAATAATTAGATCGATGCTGATGGCGTTGGCAAACAAATAGATCGAAAAATATATAATAGTAATCATTAAACACTAAGGTATTGTAATATTCTACAAATATATAAAAGGATTCGTTTTTATTAACGCGAATAAAAAGTAGCCGTCATTATCGCCTTTTGGCATCTGTGCGGCATTACAACAATGCCAGCTCATCTATTATTTTCACATTCAACAAAATGAAAGGGCGCAATGTAAAATGACGTAACATAAATATAATATAAATAATAAATTGAAATAATATATAAATTTTAACTTATGTAGCATCCAACTGCTTCAAAACGCCTCCAAAATTACGATCAAGAATGAGTAGGATTTTCAGACTTGGCGACTAACTTTGTTGCCCAATTACTGCAAAAATACTCATAATTTCTAAAAATTTAACATGACCTTATTTGAAAATCTGTTTTTGAAAACATGTTTCATTAAGAAAAAAGTATATCTTCATAATTTTAGTTGTAGGAAGACGTCGAAAAAACGTTAATGTTTTTCAATTTTTGAAAAGTTAGGGTTCTCAACCAACATGTACCGTTTTCTTAAACATTCTTCAGACTATTCACCAACAATATTTCATCAAAAAAGATGGAGTCGTTTTTGAGAAAAAATTGTTTAAACCCAAATTAAAAATTACCAATATTTGACTCAAAATCATGCAAAAAATACTCAATTTTTCGAAAAAATGTACGTGACCTTATTTCAAATTATATTTTTAAGGAACAGATTTTATTAAGGATAAAAATTTATCTTTAATATTTATGTTGTAGGAAGACGTCGAAAAAATTTTGAATTTTTAACCAACATGAGACCTACGCCATTCAGACTATCCAACAACCCAATCTAATCAGAATTTATGGCGCCATTTTTTTCAATTTCGAAAATGTATGAGGGGCTTCATGTAAAGTACACTCCAAAATTAAAATATCGATTTCAAATTAAAAGGGCCATCAGCCACATTATTTGGGGTATATAAATTTTGGAGAAAATCAGCTGAACGATTTAGCCGATAGCGTTGTTTACAGACAGACAGAGATTCTGACTACTCCACGTGTTAGATGATTTCTTTTCTAAATTTAGCACTGTAGCAACTTATCCACTCTTTCGATACCACAGCCCTGTAATAAGAATTTTTCTCCCGAAAATCTGCCGATTTTTTCAAAGCATTAACTAACTTTCTCTTCTTAAGAAGTTCCTTCTTAAAGGCGAGAAAGTAAAAATGGAGCTACACCCACAAATGCGACTAGCACCATATTTTTTACCGCCCTTTATTAAAATAGTGAAGAAAATTTAAACAAACAATTTGGAGCATTTATTGAGAGAGAATAATGCGATAATTTCAAGCGTTAATTTCGCAAAAACTACTCATTTTCTCAAGAACTTGTAGGTCCCTGACCTTTTTTGAAGAACTAATTTTGTACAACATACATTGAAGTAAAAAATTCTATCTTACGTAGTTTTAAAATTAATTTTTGAGATTTCTGAAAAATCGGCGATGGTGACAAAAATGAGATCTTTACACTTCCCCTCGTACCATATCTAATACTTGCAGGATCATTTCAGTCTTCTAGATATGTCTTCGTGCAATTATTAAGGTGTTACCAAACTATTTCCTCATATTTTCCTCATTTTATTAGAGACTTGTTATTTTTTTCGTTACACGAGACTGATTTGACCTAAGATATTGCTTATTATCCCACTCTCATTTGAAATATCTTTTAATGAACTTCAAACACTGTGACTTATACAGTCAATATTTATCTCGAAATAACTTTCACTATTACACATATTTCTGAAGCAATATGTATCAACAATGGAGGTTATATTCGGTAGAGGTTAATCTTTATATGAAATATTTAAGACAAATAATTAATATTTATTATGTCATTGAAAATCACTTTAAAATATATACTTAAATAATAACAAATTTTACACTCAGTATATTGCCGTACAAGTTCGTGTTTACCACTTCCAATTGTTAGTAAAGCTTGAGGTCGAAAAAGATCCCGGATGTAGTTCTTGATTGTAAATTGCAGATATGGTACGAGGGTTACGTCCTTCGCTCTATTCAATAACAAAATGTAAACAACCAAATTTGGGGCCGTTTTTGAGAAAAGTTCGAAAATGTTTTTGAGGGTTTTATCCTGAGAAGTACCCTCAAACATCAAAATATTGATTTGAAACTTCCAAACTCACAAGATCATTCAGATCGATTAAGGAATTCCAATTTTGAAGAAAATCGGCTCAACGGTTTAGGCGTCAGAGTTGACCACAGACGGACGGACGGTTTGGCGTCAATCGAT